AGTTTGTCCTTTATTTATAAAAAAAATTAAAATTAAAATTAAGTGTCAGCATCTAATTGGTATATAATCATGTCGTGGGAAGTCATATTGTGCGATTGCAAGTGTTTGATCTATCACAAAGAGGCAGTTTGGTTTAAGTTTCTAAATACATTTGAAATTTTATTTTCCTCGTCTCGTTTGTATTTTTGGCCCATTCTGCCTCTAATTTTTATTGAGAGTAAGATAAATACATTAGGGCTTTAAATCATGTGATAAAAAGATAGATACATGAGGTATGGCCCAGTGTGTTTTCGTATAGTATCATTTCTCCTATTTCAGGTAGGTTTATTTATAATCATAGTTGTCATATCTGAAGTCTTGTGTCGACAAGAGCCTTTGATCATGAGGTTTTTCACTGCCACATACATTTTTCATAAAATAATTTCAGGTGGAAGGGACAATAATTTTCCAAAAGGTTTTGGTCCATTGCTAGCTCAACCATACATGTATTGTTTTCATGAATTAACCAGCCTGCAGTTCTTTCTGATCTCTCCAGCAGACCCAGTAAGAGGACTTATATTCCCCATCTTGACCATAGAATCAGCAAAATCACTGAGGAAAAGCCTAGAATTAGAGCTATAGCTTAGGACCAAACTTTTGGTGTTTGTTGTCACAGCTGCGTCACTGGAAAACAGAATTTGATCAGAACCAAGAAGGCCCTTTCCATTAATCAAGTTCTGAAAGTAATGGTTGTCAAAAAGATCGGCTGAGTTTCGATCAAACGGCGCGGTGTTGCTTCCATCACCAGTGAGTGGACACAAGTTTTGTAGATCAGTTAACATGCTTTGATTCAATGTGCTGTCTGGACTACCTGTTCCTGAGAAGTTGAAAAGCCTATTGCTGAAAGTGCTGCACTTTGCCAACCCAATTGTATGACCTCCTATAATAAGTTAACACAGAATTATTTTAATCCATTAACACATTAGAGAGTTAATTGGTGGATTATATTGGAGATTATTAGATATTAATATGTACCTGATAAGGACACAACATCTTTGACATCGAGGCCTACAGTGGCAAACTTGGAAATGATCACATCCAGAGTTTCAAATGGAGAAGGAAGTCCATTATTTGCTCCTGTCTGATTTGCCACCAATCCATCTCTTCTTCCCAGTAGAACTTTCCATGAAGTTCCTCCACTCTGCAAGATAAACATGTTTAGTCTCTGATCTCATTAATATGTACGTAGATACGTATAAAATGAACCCAAAAAGTGTGAACTTACTAGGACCACAGAATCTCTGGCAGCTATGGCTAGTATATCAGCACATGATACAACTCCACTACATGCACTCTCCACTGAGCTCTTGATTCTGTCCAGAACTTCAAATCCTCTTGCTGAGTTCAAATTGGGCGCGGCAGCCTTCTCACTGTCAGTTACATCCAGTAGTAGCGATGCATCGCAACCCTACACGTATATATGCGCCAAAGAGAGTTAATTTGTATGTGTTTATTTTAACAACACGAATAATACGATGCCTCATCAGGGAGGTCTTAAAAACTCACAGGAAATGCTTGCTAGTTAAAAATTGGGATGCATGATTGTTAAGGCCTTCAACTCACATTGACAAAGCAGTCATGGAAGTGTAGCCGAAGCAAAGAAGCAGCCATTCGCATTTCAGTCTTGATTGCACTCTGAACCTCTCTTCGGACAATTTTGAGAAGATCCGGACATGTTGCCTGGTAGAAATCTGTACGTAACTGTGCTTTTGCAACCAGACACAACGCGAAGAACATGATCATTAACAAAGAGTAACGACGACTAAAAGTAATCGATGACCTTGTCATGGTTTACTTGAGGGATATTGGCAGTGGCAGACCCTAGTTAATGCTAATAAATATGGTGTTAACTCAATTTATAGACAACATCATGGGAGAAATTAAGATTTTTTTAAAGCTAAGCTAGTGCTTATGATGTATGGCGGCTGCACCCAGAGCTTGTCTGCAAAATTACTTAAACTCAGAAAACTGCACTGAGATTGTGAGACTGATATTAATTTGCATACTGCCAAAAGAGTGGTGGCCTAATTGTTATCAGTTTTGCATATAATATATAAAGCTTTCCAAGCAAGTTCATGAATCAAAGATTAGTTAATCGTTTTCATACTATATTATAGTGCATGCCAACAGAAAGCCAAATGCCTTTTTTCTACCACTTCAGTGCATGTGCATCACTAAATTGTGCATAGCACAGAGTTGAGAGTTTGTTTATCTGTGTTGATAGGACATAGGAGTTGACATTTTGATCAAGCAACTCAGAGAGTGTGCCATGTCTGAGGCCACTACATTTCCAGTTTGTCTTTTCTTCTTTTTCTGATCTGAAAGACAACTCCATGAAATAGAAGATCAATCAATTGGTTCAAACTTCAATTTGTTAATAATTTTTGCTATCTTCATATCATAAGTGCTATATATATTGTAATTTATTATTTAATATCCCAGAAAAACTGGCAAACCCTTCATCAGCATTATAATTTATACAAGCCACAAAACTAGATTTTAATATATTAATTCAGCAGAGTTTAACACAATTATCAATTGATCACTCTGCAATTCTTTCGAATCTGTCCACTTGATCCAGTCACTGGGCCAATATTTCCCATCTTGATCATGGACTTAATAAAGTCATCAAAGAAAAGTTTAGGCTTTCTTCTGTAGTTGTCAACGACACTCTTGGTCTCATCATCACCACCATTAAACAAAATTTGGTCCGAATAAAGAAGGCCCTTCCCGTCGAGCAAGTTCTGGTAGTAATGGTTGTCAAAGAGATCATTCGAATTTCGATCAAGAGCCGTGGTTTTGTTGCCATCGCCATTCACAAGACATACATGTTGCAGATCAGATAGCATATCTTTTTCCATTGTGCTGTCTGGACCTCCTGTGTTGAAGAAGTTCCACAGTCTCTTGCTGAAAGTGGCACACCTTGCTCGTCCAATTGTATGAGCACCTACACATGCCACATGACCCCCCATTACCATTATTCATTGATTTAATTTACTACCATGCTAAGTCTAAATTAAACTAAAAGCATATATGGCCAAATCTGTGACATTAACAATAATTATATAGATTTTTAGGTTATGTACCTGACAAGGAGACCACATCTGTGACATTGAGACCTACATTGGCAAATTTGGAAATTATTGTGTCCAGTGTGTCATATTGAGAAGGAATAGCAAGATTTGCTCCTCTTTGGTTTGGCACCAGTCCATCCCTTCTTCCCAATAAAACCTTCCATGTTGGTCCTCCACTCTGCACATTTTGAGCTCTTAATTTCATCCATCATCAACTTCTACTTAGATCTAGATAATTAAGATGACTTTTTGTGTTGCTTAAATGACTCAAATGATTTCAATGGCCTTTGTCACATTCAAATGTGATACAATATTTCCTTCTAAACAAGAGATATAAGACTTCGGGTGGGTGCAAGGGTTAAGAGCTTCACATTTTCGTAAACAAGAGATACCAAAGATGAAAACTTACAAAGAGAATCAACACACAAGATCTCGACTGTAGAGTTAATAGCACTTGAGCTACAAGCCTCTTGAAACAAGAGAAACCAAAGATGAACACTTACCAAGAGAACAGAATCCCGGGCAATTAGGGCTAATATATCAGCACAGGATACAACTCCACTGCATGCACTCTCCACAGCACTTTTGACTGCATCCACCACTTGAAATCCTCTAACTGAGTTCAAATTGGGAGTAGCAAATTTCTCACTGTTGCTTCCATCCAACAGAATTGATGCATCACAGCCCTAAGAAAAATGATTGGGATTGTTGAAAAGCATAAAAAGGCATGTAAAAGAAGTTAGCCTAAACATAAGCCTAAATCAAGGTACCAAAATATTGCTAATTATTTTTAGTAATGTTTTCAACTCACATTCACAAAGCAATCGACAAAGTGAAGCCGAAGCAAGGAAGCTGCCATTCGCATTTCAATCTTTAGAGCATCTTTCACTTCTTTCCTGACGATTTTGAGAAGATCTGGACATGTCTGCTTATAGAAATCTGCATTAAGATCAGACCTCACAGCTGAACACAACATGAACAGATTTATGACAAAAAATAAACTGTTATATTCATTAAATCTGGTCATGGTTATAACTTATATCAGAGGCAAATCTTGTACAAATTAATAACCAAAGTTGAGGGGCATCGTCATATTCATTTATATTAATTATGCAATGCCTCAATCAACTTTCCATAGCTTTAGTGCTGTGGACTATGATAACTGGAAACTGCTAGACTTTAGACTTCCACCAGTATTTTCATTTGGTCAACAGAGCTACAATGAAATTGCATAAACCTGATAGATTAGGAAGTTCACTAAATTGATATATGCCAATCAGAAATTGACAGAATGGTAAGATTTCCTAATTATTGGATTGCAATCATAATAACCTTGCACCATTAAATACGTAAGGCAAGGAATCAAAGTAAAACAGATGGAAAGCTTATTCAAGCAATTTTTCCCAAAATTCTGTGATATTAATCATTAAGTTGCGCTGCGCATGCAATAACAATGGGTGAAACACTCATGACTTTACATACTAATGCAAACCGTGGGATGACTTGACTTCATATTTTCAATAGGCTATCCCACATATATAATACATCTCATGCTGAACTTAACGTGTCACATGAATTTATTTGATAAAATTAAACTACCTAAGCTAACGTAATTCAAAAATGGTTTCTAGGTTAAAGGTAAATTATAAACTAAAATTTTGTTAGAACTAAAACAAAACAACAATTGGAACAAAAAAGGAAATTAAAAAATATATATTAGAAAAGAACATGAATGTAATATATGGCGCCAATTCGTCAAACAAAAGTAAACGGCAAACAAATAGAGATAAATCACAACATATCAGTTTGGACGTGTCTGATGGAGAACAGCCCACGTGGCAAAAGGAAAGAGATATTAATCAAATAGCTTCAATATCTCTTACACTGTTGGCAGTTGCTCTGGTACCACTCTGCCTTTCTCAGCCTCTCTGCTTCTTTTTGATCATCAATGGCGGCAGCAGTGACAGCAGCAGCACCACCAAATCTAACAAGCCTGAGCTTCCATGGTTGGCGCAAAAAACTCACATTCTCAATCTCACCAACAACTCTTCGCTTCTTCAGAAACTCAAGCCGTACAAAGCATCTCACTCAAGTTTTGGCTCTCGTAGATGAACAACAGCAGCAACAAGTCTCGTTTATAGAGGAAGAGAACTCTCTCGTTGAAGCCCTCATTGGAATTCAAGGCCGAGGCCGCTCTGCTTCTCCTCAGCAACTCACTGTAACGCTTTTTTCTCTTTTCTCTTCTTAAATTATGTGATTAATAAAAAATTATTGAATGAGAATTAATGATTTTGCAGGATGTTGAGCGTGCTGTGCAGGCTCTTGAAAGTTTACAAGGCATTCCGGATCCGGTTCGATATCATTGAAATACAACCTTCTGCTTTGATTGTTGTTTTTGGTCTCTTTGTATTTGTTTATATATTCAAAATGTGTGTTTTATATGCAGACCAGCTCTAGTTTGATTGAGGGACGCTGGCAATTGATGTTTACTACAAGACCTGGAACTGCCTCTCCCATTCAAGTATGATCTGTTCAACTAATGTGTTCCCCCCACTTGTATGAATTTTTTTTTTTTTTTCCTTTTTGAATATTGCAGAAACTTGGTTTCTTTTGCAATATATATTGGTTTTCCTTGAGATCTTGAAAGCATCACCCTAGCTATGTGATGCACATGTAGAGTGTTGCAAATGTAAAGATATGGATCTTCTAGGGACTCTAAATTTCATGGAAAGAAAATTGATCTGCAAAACAAAACAAGTTCAGTTGGCCCTCTAAACAATTTGAAAGTGGCAATTGAATCATGCTTTTAATATCTTTCAGAGGACATTTGTTGGGATCGATTTCTTTAGTGTGTTTCAAGAGGTATTTCTTCGGACAAATGACCCACGTGTATCCAATATCGTAAAATTCTCTGATGCAATAGGTGAGCTGAAAGTAGAGGTATGCCTTTGCTCTCTCCAATTGCTAAATATCTCTATACATATGTCTCTTTCTGCAGAACTAAACGGTTACTATCATTCAGTTCTTTTCTTTAGCCCCCCTTTGATTCTTGTCAAGTCATGAATGATGCCATATAGATCATTTAAGTATTTTCTTTTCACTTAAGTTTTGTCTCTTTTGTTCCCACAAAGGCGGCGGCGTCAATCAAAGATGAGAAACGAATCCTTTTCCGGTTTGACAGAGCAGCCTTTTCTTTCAAATTTTTACCATTTAAGGTTCCATATCCAGTTCCTTTCAGACTTCTTGGAGATGAGGCAAAGGGTTGGTTGGATACCACATACCTGTCCCAATCTGGAAACCTCCGAATATCAAGAGGAAATAAGGTAATAGGGCATACATTCATTGCTTAGCAGTAAACAGATTTTTAACACATTCTGTGCGGCATTTCACATCAGTAATATTACCGTATAGTGATGGTAATTAATTGCTTGAACCTTAGAACGAGTTGATCGTAGCTAAGGATATCCATAATACCTTTGTAGTGCAGGGAACCACATTTGTGCTGCAAAAGAAAACTGAGCCTAGGCAAAAATTGCTATCAACCATCTCTACGGGTACAGGAGTCAGAGAGGTGACGTTGCCAATTGAAGTTTCTCAAGTTGCATGCTGAAGAAACTTTTCCTTGCTGATATGGTTTCCTGCAACCGTATTTCTATTGCAGGCAATTGATGAGTTCATCTCCTTCAACCAGAATAAAGGCATAGGTGAACCAGAACTCCAAGAGGGAGAGTGGGAAATGCTATGGAGTTCACAGGTAATCTCATGATGATAAACTGATACTAGGAGTTGTTTTATTGTCCTTTACCAACATCCTATTGGCAAAGGCACTGACAAACTTAAGTTTGGACTGAGCAAGAGTCTGAGACTTATTGGGTTTAATCGCACTAGCTGATGTGGCAATCATCTCTCCATGGTTGTGAAATCAAACGTGCATTGCACTTTGTTCAACCAAGAGCATTAGCTTATATAAGAAAGAATGCAACTGTCATATGCATATGCATTTTCAAGAATGTGGCACAAATAGGCGCATAACGAGAACAAAAGCAGCTAAGTTATTTTGTTAATTGCAAAAATAGGATTCATCCTAGTAAATGAGAAGCTTGCTGAATTTTAAAGGCTATAAAGAACAAATATAAAGCTAACCAGAACTACCATAGGATAGAGCTAACCACAGAGCAAGATCTATATTCATGTAGAAGACATCAAATAGATAAAAATCTGCTGATATTGCTCCAGATCACTGAAATCCAATTATGCATTTTGTAAGATGAACACATAAAAGAAACTGTAGTAGTTTTTTGTTTACAATTTTCATATGTCCTTATATGTGGCAGGAAGAGACGGATAGTTGGTTAGAGAATGCTGCCAATGGTCTTATGGGCAAGCAAGTAAGTGAAAAATCGTAGCTGCTATTACGTTAAACAAATTTTGATGGCTCAACTTGCCTTGTCTTAGTTCTCGTTATTCCTTATGGAGTTTCCTCGGTTGACTAGTTTACTCTCCATTAATTTTTTTAAATGCTATGATTATAGATTGTCAAGGAAAATGGACAAATAAAGTTTGTGGTTGACATCTTGCTTGGACTCAAATTTTCCATAACTGGCACATTTGTGTAAGTTTCTCATTTGAATAAATTTAGCTGGAATTTAAAAGAGATATCTAGGGAAAGCCTGATTTTCACAGTCTCACACATCGGCAGGAAATCTGGCACCACAACATATGATATTACAATGGACGATGCAGCCATCATCGGTGGCCAATTTGGATATCCCGTAGAGCTAGAAAGCAAGTTCAAACTAGAACTGCTGTAAGATATCTCGTCCGGTATTCATGTAGCTAGTTACAACACTTTGATTAGCTGAAAGTACCATTCATTCACATATTTATTAATACCGTATGCTGCAGGTATAGCGATGACAAGATCAGAATTACGTGGGGATATAATAAAATTGTTTTTGTGCATCTACGAACAGATGGTACAGGACAGAAATAAGATGGGCTAACCAAACAGATAGAAGATCTAAATTTCAGGTGATACAAATTTGCTTCTGGTTGTGTCGGTATAAATGACAGCATAGCCACATGTTATTTTGATAGTTTTTCATCTTTTGACCAGTTGATAAGGTAACCCAGTGGGAACCAGAAAAGGGCAGAATTTCATCACCATCATTCTGAAAAATTCATGTCGTACATACTAAAAATGAAATAGAACAAATGAACAAATGAACAAACGTACCCAGTTTCATAGATTTTGTTTGAGACATGTCAGGTGATAAGCAAAGCTATCAGAAAGGGTGAAACAAGCATTTTGGTTGGGAATGGGGTGAGCCTTGGAGCCATGAAGTAGGGTTTGTCAGAATTTTCTCAAAAGCCAGCTTCATCTAGCAGGAGAAAGTGGAGATAATTTCCCTCCCTCCACAACAGAACTGGCCTATTGTAAATCATACCATGAGATTGGCCTATTTAACTCAGAAACAAATTTACATATTAAAATTGTTTTGACATATATACTTTTCTTGGCTGTTTTTTTTATTTTCTTTTACCTGTTTAACATCAAATGTAATCAAAATTAATTGTATCTCAGATACTTTCTGCTAATTGTCATTGGCTCAATTGTATCTTTCTTTAGTCGCTGGCTTTGGTATTGAGTATTTCTGTGCTGGGATTTGGATTACTTATCGTAAAACCTAATGAACATTAACTGTCAGGCACAAAAATAAATCAAATTAAATAATTAAGCTGCAGAGCAGCACTCTTCATCTACATCTGCTGCACGCATCAACCAATAGAAGAAATCTATTAGAGATTTTGCACACGACTATAACATGTTTTTGTTTTTTGTTAAATACTATAACATGTTTTTTCCCATTCAAGAATACTGATTGTGTTTTGTTTTTTAACGACAGTGCAATATCCTAAACTACTCTAATCTACGAAAAGGGTAATTCAAACTAGGGTACAAGAGGCAGGCTCACTTCCGGGTCAACTTGCCTAAACAAACTACACTGTTTTGTTTTTAGTCAACAATTCTGCAAAAGAAAAAAGTGAATCTCATCAAGATCTCAAACAAATCAGTAAAGTTCCTTAGAAGTAATTAATTAACGACTAACATGCCAGATAAACTTTATTACTTGCCTAACAAGTAACCGAGGAAAAAACTTCCCAGAACTGATTCATTCTCTTTCTAAAACCTTCCCCATAGGATAGGAAATCTTTGTTTGGTTTTTCTCTCTCTTTTTTTCAGCCTTCTTTTGACGTTTGATGCCCCGGTTACATATACCTCACTCCAAATCAATTTGTTCTTGTATTTGGCCCTTACCATTACGAGGTCCTTGGACAAATAAATTCTTTGCTCGATCAACTTTCCTATATATGCTGCTAGCCAACGTCTAAACATGCATTGAATTGAATAATCCTCCTCACCTTTTACAATAAGATTTCGATTTGTTTATCCCTTACCCTTCCTTTGCTCTGTTTTTCTTTAAAACCACAGACATAAAACCATCAAACTTTAAGGGGAAGACCCGCCATCACATCTAGATTTCAATGATAAACAGGTATGGTATTCCTGGTTATGGTTCTAAATTTTCTCTTTTAGCTTTGCCTTAGTTCTTCTTGGGTTGAATATTCTATTACTTCATGCTCTGCCTTTATCTTTAGGAATTCCCAATAGCCAAACAGAGCAAGAATCTAACAAAGAGAAGGAAAGATACAAACGAAGTAGAAGAGCCTATATTTTAATCCCAGTGGACGAAGAAGAGTTGTGCAGGTAGTGATTTCACAGAATCCTCATTCGGCTTTTTGTTTCTCCCCATTGCGCCAATTTATGTGCAAGTTCTATATGTTATTTACACACTTTTGATTGCACAAACTTTATTTTGGTTGCGCGCGCGCACACACACACACACACATATATATATATCTAATCTCTTTATAATTCTGGCAGTGTGAAGTGTGAACAATGATGGCTCATTACACGACCACAAACACTCAGAGGCCACGGGAAGATTTGTCCCTCAAGGAGACGTCGCCGAAAATCACTGGCAGGGCTGCCTCCGCCACGGGCCCTATGACCGCCTTTAACCTGGTGGAGCAAATGCAGTATCTGTATGTACGGGTTGTGAAAGCCAGAGGGCTGCCACAACCCTGCGATCCTTATGTTGAGCTGAAGATTGGGAACTACAAGGGAACCACAAAACACTTGGAGAAGAATCCATACTCCGAATGGAACCTAGTTTTTTCTTTCAACAGAGAGAGAATTCAGAACACCAGTGTGGAGATTTTGGTGAAGGATAAGGCTCTTGCAGTTGAAGATGGTCAAGAAGTCATTGGCCGATTTGCTTTCAATGTTTCTGATGCTCCAACCAGAGTTCCTCCAGATAGTCCTTTGGCGCCCCAATGGTATAGGCTGATGGATCAAAACAAGATCAAAGGAGAGTTGATGTTGGCCTTTTGGATTGGGACACAGGCGGATGAGGTTTTTCCTGATGCTTGGCATGCTGATACAGCCTCAGTTATAAGTGGTTATGGCGTTTCAGATACTCGTTCGAAAGTGTACATTTCACCTAGGATTTGGTACCTTAGAGTTAATGCGATTGAAGCTCAGGATCTGCAGCTTAGAGACAAGAACAACAGAGGACAGCCAGTAGAGATTTTTGTGAAAGCTACTCTTGGGAGGTTGGTTTTGAGAAGTAAAGTTTCTCAAACTAAGACTACAAATGTCGCATGGAACCAGGATATAATGTTCGTTGTAGCAGAACCATTTGAGGAGGATTTGGTTGTGACTGTGGAGGAGAATTTGATCAATAAGGAAGGAAGTTTCACCTTAGGGAGGTGTGAGATTCCTCTAAAGAATGTGGAGAAGAGGAATACTGGTTCGGCGGCTGCTGCCAAGTGGCATGATCTTTGGAGGACTGAAGTAGTGGAGAATAAGGAGGTGAGATTTGCTAGTAAGATTCAGATGAGGATCTCTTTGGATGGTGGATACCATGTTCTTGACGAGCCTGCTCACTCTCTTAGTGATCTTAGGCCAACAGCAAAGATATTGTGGAAACCTACAATCGGGAATCTGGAACTGGGGATCTTGAGTGCTTCCGGACTGCCACCAATGAAGCCCGAAAATCGTGTTAATGCCTATTGTGTGGCTAAATACGGGCCAAAGTGGGTGAGAACAAGGACGATCGTCGATAGCTGTGATCCCAAGTGGAATGAACAATACACTTGGGATGTCTATGATCCTTGTACAGTCATTACCATTGCAGTTTTTCAAAATGGCTATTTGCACAGTTGGGATAAGCCTGGAGGGCCTATGGATTTGCCTATTGGAAAGGTAAAGATTCGCTTGTCCACGCTTGTCATCGATAAAATTTACACAAACTCTCATCCACTTGTGGTTATGCAACCTTCTGGGGTGAAGAAGATGGGCGAAATCCAATTGGCAGTGAGATTTTCCTGTACAAATAAGATGAACATGTTACTTACTTATGGACGGCCTCTGCTTCCCAAAATGCATTACCTTGTCCCACTATCTAAAGATCAAATCTCTATGTTATCAGAACAAGCTGCGTATACTCTCGCACTGAGGTTGAGCCGGGCTGAGCCACCTTTGAGGAAAGAGGTTGTGGATTATGTGTTGGATGTGAAAACACATTTGTGGAGCCTCCGAAAAGCCAAAGTGAATTTTGACAGGATCGTCAAAGTTATGGATGGTGTCTTTGGTGTCGTCAAATGGTTTGATGGGATATGCAAATGGACTAACCCCTTCTCTACTGTTCTGGTTTTGATCATCTTCTGTGTTGTGGTTATTTACCCTGGTCTCATACTACCCGCATTGTTTTTCTACTTTTCCAAGGAAGGGATTTGGAACTTTTGGAAGAGGCCTAAAAAAATTCTTCACATAGATGCCGACTTGTCTCATGCCTACACTGCGCTTCCGGATGTTTTGGATGAAGAGTTTGATCCGTTTCCAACGAGAAGGACCGACGAAGTTCTGAGAAGAAGATATGACCGGCTTCGAAGCATGGCAGGGAGTATCCAGACACTTCTTGGGGACATAGCAGCTCAAGGGGAGAGGGTGCAATCTATTTTGAGTTGGAGGGATCCAAGAGCTACAGCTATATTTACGTCCTTTTGTATAATTGCTGGGATAATATTTTGGTACGTTCCTTTCCAATGTATACCTCTTTTAGCAGGCATTTATGTGCTAAGGCACCCATGGTTACGTGACCAACTCCCTCCATATCACTACAACTTCTTCAGAAGGATGCCGGCGAAAACGGACATCTTTTTATGAGGAGCTTTGATTTGTTCAGAGAATCAACCTTTTATTTAATTGTCTTCTAACTGAGAGGAAGGTTAGGAATCTGAGCATACAGACATATTTGTACTTGCCAGCTCATATCCCTTTTTTATATTTTATAAAAACAGAAAAAAACTGCTGCTGTTGGTAATTTCTTTTTTGGTCCAGATGTTTTTGGTGTAAGGGAAACCAGGCTTTCCCCTCATCTTTTTGAAAAGAAATTTCCAATGTCAGTTTTAATCGAATGGTTGAATTTTCTGGTTTAGCTGGAGGGATTATTTTTGCTTGGAATGATGAACGTATTCATCTGGATGTAAAATAATATATGCATGAAAGGTTTATTTTAACTTGTGTGTTTGATGCTCATGTTGGTTCTACTTATTTTGTTTGCTGGCTGTATATGTTTCCTTGGAAAGATGAACAAAAAATTATTTGGGATCTCCTTTCGGATAAAGTTCCTTGGCATGAACCAGTCTTGATACTTGCAGTCTTTAACTGCATTCTTTCTTTTACATGAGAAACTTGGAGGCTCTAGTAAACTTTCCAAGTACATGCTTGATTTTCAGAACTTTGTTAATCAAGCTAGTCTCATTGAAATTGCTTCTACAGGTAATGCTGCTTTTACCTGGAGTAATAAACAACAGGCTCAATCTTAAATCTGGGAAAAATTGGATCGAGCTTTTTGCACGAAATTCGTTTTAAAAATTTTATCCTCAATTGTTTTTTAGATGTGTTGCCTATAGGAGGATCTGATCATAGTCCAATTATCTTTCATTCCGATTCACATGTTTTTTGTTCTAATAGGATTTTTCGTTTCCAAGGGCAATGGCTTTCCAATCCAGAATTCCCAGATATTGTTTATAAAAAATTTACAAAAAAATGCATGGAAACACGTTCAGGGAGCTTCCCCCTAGGAATAATATTTTGGCCAACTGTGGAGACTTACGTTTCTTACTTGAACAATGGCACTCTAAACGGCCCCATTTATTCCAGGAAGTTTCCTCTTGGTATAAACAAATTGCTCAAGTGCAGGAACTCTTTTTGGGCAGGATTTGCATAAGGCTTATCTTAAATTATTACATCAAGGGGAACTTTACTGGGCTCAAGGTGCAAGGGCTAATTGGCTTAAGTTAGGTGGCCAACATACTAATAAAAGAAATGGTATTTTTCGGATTAAAAATTATATGTATATTTGGATTTCTAATCCTTGTGATACGGCTCAGCTGTTCGTTTCAGAATTTCAACATCAGTACCAAGCTGAACATTGTTCCTCTTTGGCACAAAGTTGTTCAGTTTTTTC